TGCCATCTTCAATCTAGCCTCATACAAAGTCTTAGAACATAGGCAAAATGAAGACAATTGTTTGCCAGAATGTAATATCCACTGCCTATATGCCCCTTAGTAACAAAGTCCTTTTTTCCATCTGAAACCTCATTAACTAGGTCTTTACTGCCTGCCTTCTTGGCAGCATTCTGGTCTTCCAAGCTTGGTCTAGAATCACCCATCGGGTTCTGGTTACAACAGTCTATGGCTTTTCTAGCTTACTTTTTCAGTTTTTTATAAACCTCTAGTAAACCAGTTACAAATGCTTCTGAGTCACAAGGTCAGGTAAATCACAGCTTGGCCCCTCTTCACAAATACCAACCATCTATGTCAGGCACTATCCCAAATGGGACAAAATATCCAACATCTACAACTCCGAGGAGGACAGGTATATCTCAGCTCACAGTTTTTGTAGGTTCAGTTCAAGGTTAGCTAGCTCAAATGCAGAAACATAACATGGGAGAGCACAATAGAGGAAAGCTGCACATCCATAGCATCCAGGAAGCAGAGAAAGACATGGGAGGATCTGGGACCAGATCACATGCTTCAGGTCACATTCCCAGTGACCCACCGTGTCAGAAGGACCCCACTCCCTAACAGTACATTCATCTATGAACTGATCAATGGATTAACCCATTGTTAAGTATAGCACCGCACAGCAAAGCCCCATCTCTAAACACCTGAGACTGGGAGAGGGGGAGCACTGAAGACCTAAACTATGACAATTCCCCACTCCAGAGAATGGGTCACTGTTTAAGTCATGAAAACTAAAATCAGTAAATGGATTTCTTGCTTAATGCATAGTCAGGAACATGATCTGAAAGGCATTGACTGGACTGCACACCTCAGTAAGGAAAGTGAAATCTAGTGATGAGAGTAGATTTGGTTGCTTTGTACCAAAATCGCATGAAAATGATACTATGCATGAAGTCCAGTACTGACCCCAGGAGTCCCTTCATAAATCTTTTTCCAATCATATGCTACATTTTAGATCTTAGACAAACTATTTAGCTTTTTTAAGCCCAGTTTGTCTTTTTATAAAATGGAAATTAAGGTAGGTAATACTCATTTCACTATCATATATTAGTTAAGTGATAAGGAACAGGCTATAATGGACATATAATGTAGCATTAATTTAGGTCATATTATGTAATTACCATTCACAAGTAACTCTATCTCATGCCTGAAGAGATTTCATGACAGATGTGAACAACATTAGTAGGATGACAGGAAAGGTGGTATATAAGCAACAGTAAATAAAGTACTGCAAGGAGCTATTTGAAAGCTATCTCCTGTCTAAGTATTAACCAGGTCTGACCCTGATTAGCTTCCAAGATCACATGATATTGGCCACATTCAAGGTGGCATGGCTGTAAACTTGAAAACTATCTCAAGAACAAATTAACACATTAAACAGAGAATCTGAGCAAGAAATGCTCTGAATTTCTTGAATCCAGGAAGGTACTAATGGAATAGTTGCATTCACTATAAGATGACAATTGAAGCTAACCAAGAAACTCCCACAAAGAATTTTACATTATTTGGACATTTCTATTCATTCTCGGAGATGAGTCATGAAAAGATTATGAAGCCCACCTCCTCTAAGAGCCAGAAAATGATGGACATTTCAAGCCAGGAGTTGGAAACTTGGCATCACCTATACTGGTGTTTTCCCTCAATAGGCAAACACACAAATTAATGAAAGTGTTCTTTGTCCATATAAATATAGGACTTAAATAGTATTCCTAAGGATATTTACATTTTGGTAACATCAAAAAATTCCGTTGTCTCATAGTAATAAAATTTTATCACAGCTTAATTCTGCAGTTCGGGCATTCTATCTACACAAATGACATGCAAATTTCTCCAAGTAGCACAGAGGTATTGGGAGAACAACCTAAGGGACATCAAGGGATGATGAGGAATAAGAACCAGTTACCACATTCTCACATTCCCACTTCAATTAATAGAGCACCTCCGTGATGATTCACATATTATGTTTCTACGTAAAATTCTCAATTCTCCATACTCCTGTGACTTTGAACAAATTATTTAATGTTTATCTACCTCATTCATTGTTAAAGCCTTTCTAGTAATTATACTTGTCTGATCAATTTGTTTTACATTGAAATGTGTTAAAACATACACAGCAGTTATAATATAACCTCGTTCATGTGCACAGTAAATATTCTTGGTATTGTAATTGGTATTTAAGAAGAGACTTTGCCATTAAACAGAAGGTGTGAACATGTGGATAAGGTCATACGGACAATAAATAAAGGAATCAATTCTTCAGCTTCCTGACAAGTATTTACTTGCAATCTAAGATACTGTCAAAATGTCAGATGTTCATTGTCTCCACTCATTGTTCAGTATCTCTGATCATAACTAAGTAGCTTTACCTAGTAAAGCTGCAAACATATAACATTTATCTATATTAAAATCACTTCAAAGTTATTTCTGAGCCTTACTTTTGTCATCCTGGTCATTTTCATCTTATGTTTATATTTATTTAAGGTTTTTTATATTATAGATACCAGTAAGTTCTTTAAATATGAAATATCATTCAAAGCACACAGCAAAGGTATGATGAATATGCCTTTATCCGTATCCTAAAAGCTTATAGAGAATACAATGATATTGTGAAATACTAAAGAATTAATTATGAAAACAGGAGTGTTGTAATGAAGAAAGAGAATGGGCTCAAATCCAAGTATAAAAAGTTTGGGTTTTAGCCAAGAGGATGGACTAGTGGCCTTTCAATGGAAAATTACTTAAAAGAAGACATGAACCTCAATGGGGATTGGTAAATTGTCCTAAAAGGATTCTTGCAAAATGTAGGCCCAATGCTAATATATGAGCATCTTCTATCTCCATATATATATGAGAAATTTAACCGAATATCCACAGTGATCAGATATTAAAGTTGATGGGGTGATTCAGTATGCTTCCTAGGAATGAATAGGTTGGATAATCCAAAGACAGGAAGAAGGCCAATGTCATTGCCAACCTAAAAAGTGGGCTCAGAGACTCAAGACTAAAGTTTGGTCAGAAGAATCTTTATCAAGCCAAATGAAGGTAGGTGCAAAGTTTCTCATTGGTTATGACATATCCAAGGTATAAGACAGCCTTGAAGATACAGTAGATGACCATTAACAGTGATTTGATAAAATGTACAAAAGAAAATTAGAGTAATATTAGTTAAATAACTTGCAAAAGTCATACTGACAATAGTGAAGCTAGCTAAAAGTTCCAATGTGAAAGACTGCAAGTTTCATTTCTCAAGCTCATTGTGATATGTACTAAAGACCATCCAGCACAATTATACTCATCTCTTTGCTCTTAAATGGATGCACTGTACAAATTTCACCTTTAGGGATAACTCTTTTTTTTTGTTTGTTTGTTTTTTGTTTTTTTTTTTTTCCTGGTACAGGGAATCAAACTCATGACCTTGCACTTTCCAGGCAGGCACTGTGCCTCTGAGCTAAATCCCCAGCCCCAAGGGATAACTCTAATTCCTAATATAGGCAGCATCTTCCATCTCCACTCACCAAAATTACAAAAGCTGCTTTGAAAACTTTCCTATAGAGTCATTAAACTGAAAAATTGGCACAGTGAAGTATCACTGTCCTTGTAACCCTTAAAAGATTTCAAATGAACCATGGCATGACAAATACTCATTTAATCTTATTAAACCAAGAGGAATTGATTAGTGGCTTGCCAGTTAGAAGTTACTGCATGTACCTGAGGTTCACAACAAAGTTATCATCTCATTCTTGATCCATCAGGTAGGGCACTGGTCACTGAGGGACAGTCAAGACACTAATCCATTCTCAGTTATGATGATTTTGTATCTCCTCATCGTTGACTTTTAAAGTCATTGAGTTTTTTCCTCAGGGCCCGTGATAGAGAAGCTTTCATAAGAGATCTGACACGAAATAAGTTTTGATACCAGAAAAAATGAAAACAACGTAGCAAAGTGATATATGTGCATGCTTATAGCAGCACAATTTGTAATAGCTAAACTTTGGAAACAATCCAAATGCCCATCAACTGAGGGATGGATAAAAAAGATGTGGCATTTTTATACAATGGAGCACTACTCAGCTAAAAAGAAAGATAAACTCAAGGCTTTTATAGGTAAATGGATGCAGAGACCATACTCATAAGTGAAGTAAATCAGACTCACATGTGTAAACATTGTATTGTCTCCCTAGTGTTAGAAACTGAAAGAGTAAATAAGATCCAAAGGTACAATAGATATAGTGAAAGGGAAAGAGAGGAAAAAACAACTGGAATAGGGGAAAAGAGAAAAGAAGGGAGAGAAAAAATAAAGATATGCATATATACACAAGATAGCTAAGATAATTGTACTACTAATTTCTACTGGTTTATCAAAAGCAACAGTTAATGTTTAATTGTTTGATCAATCCTGCATGCCTGTCCCTGGTAATCTGAGCAACTACTTTGAAGATAACAATATGCATTATAATAACCATTGTTAATTTCCTATCATCTTGTTTTGAAATTCTGTATCATCATTTCTATTGTCTTTTTCTCTCTTTAAAATAAAAAAAGTTGTGATATCACCAGTTTGATCCACTTAAATACTCCTCAAATTTGGGGTTCCTATGGATATTATTCTTCTGATGAAAAACATCGACCATCACTTGCTTCTGTTGAATCAGGACTTTTGGTCCAATATCTCTTTTCTCTATCCAGCCTGGCATGTCAGCCAGTAACATCTCCCATTTGATGCTGCAGTAGTAAAGAGGAAGACAATCGAGCTTAGGAAAATACTAAACATGTACATCTGGCTTACTGATTGCTGTTTCTGAGAAACTGTACAAGTAGTAGGCGGTGATTTCAGTGCAATTATTTAAATTTCTTGACACTCTGCATCTCTGTTTCTACACCAAATAAATAGTGGTAAGAACTTCCTGTTAGAGTTGTAATGAAGAACATATAAGTAGCCACAGTGTTCATAACATTTTATAGTCATAGAAGCTATGCAAATGTCTATGCAAACACTGCCAGGGGTTTAGCCCCAATAACTTTTGAAAGAGCATATGCAATTACCTCTCTTTCATAAAAGAGAATCACATTCCTTGGTGACTTATCTGACAGCTTCCCAGCATTTTGTTACTGGAAACAGCTATTTCACAACTGAGACAGGAACTGTGTACAATATATAGGGTATGATCTAAGTGGCTGGGCACACAACAGAAGGTCCCTTCTTTTGACTGCATCTCACTGTCATTGATCACTTCAGCACCATGAGAACAACAGCCTTCATCTTACTTGTGGCTCTGGCACTTGCATCCATGTTCAGTGAGTATCCCTCTCCTTATACTGGCCCTGTCTTCAGAACAATTGTTGTCTGTGCCCATAGCAGAGAGGCAATAAGGGAACGTTCTTGAAACATAGTTTTTGTATCTGCCATGAATTGCTTACTCAGATCATCTCAAGGGTAGATTGGATGTTAATGGTCAGCTATGATCAAATGTTAATTAATGCAAATACTTCATGTAATTTCTGAGAGAGATAATCATACAGAATTTGCTTTGAAATTAAATTTTGTAAGCATTTTAATTTTTAAAAATTATGTTAGTACTCCTTGAAATACAAAGTGATTCCATTTATCATGGAGAGTTGTCATATGTATATCGGGTAATCTGAGCAACTGCCTTGCATGTAACAATATGCAATATAATAACCATTGTGAATATCCTATCACCTTGTTTTGAAATTCTGAATCATTTTTATTGTTTTTTTTCCTCTTTAAACTAAAAAGAAGTCCATAAATGCAGGCGTGCTTTCGTGGCCAGCAGAGAACCATGGAGTTTCTGTGAAAAGAGGGGTCATAAACAGGTCCAGAAGCTTCTGTGCAGTGACCCTAGCTCTCATACTAATTCTGCACGTGCTGGAAAATAAAAGAAAAATATTTTACTATATATAACACACCTTAATTCTTTTTAGTTCCCCTTGCACTCTCTTTACAGTGTACATTTTTTTGGTTGCATGAACTATTCTTTTTCTATTATTAATTAAAATCTGCCTCTCTAGAACTTTTAACCAAAAGCCAAACCTCTGGCCTTTGTGGTTGCTGATTATAGCACAGACACTTAAAGTAAGTGACTGTCTTATTTGTATCAGTATTTACTAAGTTATAGTCAGAAACTAGAAGAAAATAAGACAAAATCCTCACTCAACCACTTTTCCATCCTTTGGGCTATGCTTCAAATCCTACTACAAAGGGTGGGGAATTAACGAAACAATCTCTGTTCAGAGCTTTAGCCTGTGATATGATGTGGGCAAATGTATTGAAGAGTGAAATATTTTAATGTCAAGCTGACAAATAAGTCACATGAGTATTTAATATTATCTTATCTTTACTATTTCTTGCAGATATGGGATATGCCATACAGAGGAAGACGGTCAGTAAATCTTTCCATTTATATAATCTCAAAAGCAAGTAGGACTAATCAATTAATCAATATGGTATATTAATTAGATTTGCATATTTGAAGGTTTAGTTTTAAGTTGTAGTTTTTGGTACATGTTTGCAGTAGTCATGATTACATTTATTATGGGGAGTTGGTACAGGTATACAATGTATTTTAATTCTTTTTATGTCCTGTCCTTTTCCATTTTGTCCCACTGCTTCCATCTCTTACCCTTTGGATCTTTATCATTTTTGTTTTACTTTTAGTAGAGGTAAATTGGTATACTAGGTGGAATTAAAAATATACACTCAAAGAAAATAGAGTGTAGGCCCTCAAGAGAAAGGCAGAAGGAGAGAATATTTATATGTTTTTGACAGTGAAATTGAGATTCTAGAAAGTGTGGGTTTGGTTTACTGGAAAAAACTGATGGCCTACCCACAGGTAGAAAGATAATGACTCATTTTACAGGTGCGAGCATAAGACAGTTTAGAGGACAGAGGCAGGAGCCCAGGGTATTGTGCTATTTAAGGTCCGGTTTCTGCCTTTACTTTACCAATGAGCTATTTTATAGAGTTATAGTATCTATGACGGAGTTTGGGTGTGATGGATCTTAGAGAAAAGAAGCAAAAGCCAGCCTACACAATTCCAGTGTGGATTACCCTGGGTTATTTTGATTGTGTCCTGCACTTGCAGTTTTTTAAAAAGTATAATATTTGAATTATGATTTAAGTATAATATGTATATTATTTCTTTATTTGTTTTCTACTTACCTTCGTTCTCTGATGCTACCTCACCCTCCACCGGCCTTGATTCCTTATTCTTGATGGATATAGCCATATCCTTGTGGCTGTGTCAAGCTGAAGGGGGATTCTTCATTGGTCTAGTGAGGAAATCAGAAATTCCAATCTGATCTAAAGGAGATACGGGAAGATGGGTGCTAGCATTTGAAAAACCAACACTTTTTGATAATCTGCAAAGCAGGCCAAGAACATTACCTAACAGTACACCTATGAGGTGTTTACCCAAGTGTAGAAGATGGAGTATATGAGCGTTTAGACTCTTCCTGTTTGTCAATAAGAAATCTGATGACTTTGTATTTTAATAGCTCTTAGGAATACACAAAATAAAGATATCTCTTTCTCTATGAGCACTTTAGCTAAAGATGTAGACAGATCTCTCCAAAGCTGAGGTTGGAGAACAAAATGCTAAGACATTATCATTAGAGTTATAAATCCTGGATTAAACTTCTGCAATGGAGCCCTGGGCAGCATTTTTTATAATGCTATTTCAGGACTTGAAGCCAAAGTATATGAAAAGAACTTGCCACAGTGTTTACTATATAGTGGTGCTGACAAAAAACATTATGATTTTGATTATTTTTGAGTGGACTAAAAATAGTTTTCCTAAGAGAGAGAAGATCTTAATTTCACATTTCTTTCAGGACTCAGTTTAGAGTAATGTTCACTGTGGAGCAAGACTACATAGAGTTATACAATCTATAAACCAGCCCTCAGATATTTTGAGTAGCAGTCTTAACTCCGCAGTCCTGTGGGTTGGACAATTTCCTTCATGTCTTGTTGTCATTTATTTAATCTGGTGCAGAAAATAGTAGGGTTAAAATATAAATGTTAGAGTCAGACAAGCCTGAGTTCCAAGCATACTTGAGGTTCTCATAGCTGTGGAAGAATGAAAAGGTTAACAGATCACATCAACCCAGGCTCTGAGATTGAGCAACCAAGGAGAGGAAGTGTAATCAGGCTGGCTTGGGAGCACACAGGGCAATGCTGTTTCCGTTGTGCTGTACTTGCCTCTGAGGTCTTCCAACCAGTGCCTCCTATTCGCTACTCTTTGTACAAGCAGCACTCACAGCACTTTAAAACTTAGGGGATGCATGGAGAAAGAAACTAATGGCTGAATTAATTATTGTGGAGGAGAATGTATCTGAAGGGCTAGATGAATTAAACTGTGAGTTTTGAGTACATTCCAAGGTACTCACACGTAGATAATTAACCATTAGTAAAATATCCTGTCTAGAGTTCTGGGAAGAAATGAGCTGGAGATGCAGTTTTTTGGTACATGGCTAGAGCTTATTTAGAACTCCAAATGAAGGTACAGGATAAAACAACAACTATTGCTTCTTCAGTGTTTTCCATGCCATATACTGCATAGCATATTTATATATATGCTGGTCAGTATGTACATTTTACTTCAATTTACGCTATGGCTTTTATTGCCTTAGTTTTGCAAATAAACACTAGAGTATAGAGATACAATAATTGTCACAGGAGGTCATGATTTAGGATTGAAGTTCACAGGCTTCAGACTGAGTATTGGTGAAGTACATAAGGAGTAGCTTCTCATCACTAACCAGTCGGAGAAATTATCAATGATGAACTGGTCCTTAACATCACTGTTACAGTTCTAATTTTTTTTTTTTTCTTTTTGAGACAGGGTCTCATTGTGCAGTTCAGGGTGGCCCTGAGCTCACTTTGTAGCCCAGGCTGGTCTCCAATTCACAACAATCTTCCTGCCTCAGTGTCCCCAGTGCTTGGATTACAGGCGTGTGCCACCATGCTCAGCAACATCACTGTTAAATGCCCCTATAATATTTTTCAAAGTCAGCCAGGCATAGTGGCACATTCCTGTAATCCCAGCACTCTGGACCCTGAGAGAGGATCACGGTGAATTGGAAGGCAGCCTAGGCTACAAAGTGAGCTCAAGACCAGCCTAAATTGCACAGTGAGGTCCTATCTGAGAAAACCAAAAACAATTCCTTTCAAAGTTACATTCATTTTTTTAAATGGAAGAGAGAAATGGCAGGCTTTTTGTGATCCCATAAGAGTGACTGCATTTGCAAAATATTCAGGTGCATTAAGAAATTATTCCTGAACCATTATAAAGAGAAAAATTTTATTCACAACTGAAATGAGTGAGAAAAACACTGACAATATTACTTACAAACAAATGCATCAGCAGTCTAATGAAATTACTTGGAAAATCCTAAAACCCGAGAAAAAAGACTTCTCGAAATAATTGAAAGTTTTAATTTCTAATATTTTTACAGGCTGACTGCAGCCATTATAAAAAGCTGTCTCCAGAAAACACAGCTTGTATTGCCTCCTATGACCCAATTTGTGGATCTGATGGTAAAACGTACCAAAATGAGTGCTACTTCTGCGTTGCAGTTAGGTAAGCATTGACATTTTTTCTTTTTATTCGTGAGTTAACTTTGTGTGATAAGACAAGGGCTTCTCAATGTGTGTCAAGCATAAGGAAGATATGTACTATCTCACAGTAACTTTGGAAAATAGAACACTCCTATTCATAAAGTTTGCAAGTCCTGGTTTTGTGGACCCTACCTATTTTGGCACTAAGACCGAATGAGAGAATATTAGACTGTCAATATTGGACAAAAGTTAAGGTCATCTATTTCCTGCTCTCCCTGGCAATGTGTTGCTTAAACTTCTTACCAAAAGAAATCTCAAAGTCTCTCACAGACCGTGTTTGATTATTTCCTGGGATATGGAAAGTCAGTCTCCTATGCATGGCAACCCATATCTGTTACAATAAGCCAAGCTTATCATTTAATTTTGGGATCTAGAAGTGTTAAGAGTCTCCTAATGCCATGTATGAAAAAAGGCAGTATTTGGAAAATCTGAGTAACTTTTCTGTGTTAGAGTATATTTCCAAAAAATGTGTTTAACAAGTATTGAAAAATTAAACAGTAAAACGAAATAGACAGAAGTAGTTAACAGGTTGCCAAGTAGGCATTTTCCTTCAGCTCAAAAAAAAAAAACAAAACAAAAAAACAAAAAAAAAACCAAAAAAAAAAAACCAAAACATGAAAAGAGTGAAAAACTAAACTGTAGAGAAACATATTAAGTATTTAAAATGTATATATGACACATTGTGCCAGGTCCCTTTTTCATAAAAATTACAATCTGCTATGAAAAGAAGCTTCTAATTAAGGGTTTCCTTTAAATTAAGAAAGTCATTAAAATTTTATACATAGCTTTATGTCATGAGTTTCTTTTCAATATAAACACCACCTCTTTCAAACATGTTTATAAGTTTTAAATATTCATTTAAAAATCATCATTAATTGGGAGTCTTGTTGATTCCCAATAATTAATGATGATTAATCATCATTAATTGGGAGTACATTTTAAAAGTTCATTGATATAGCAAGTTTGTCAGTGAAAAATTATATGGTCAGCTTTTCTCAAATTTTGGTATTATTTTTCAACAGGAAAACCAACCACAAACTGAAATTTGCCCACTGGGGAAAGTGCTGAAAGTATCTTCTCATTGAAAATACGTTTTAATGTACCCACTGGTGAGAGGCACGTCCCTTTCCCATAGAATCTATGCTGCGTTGCTTAACCTTGTTCCTGCATGCTGACTCACTTCTAGAATAAAGAGGCTAAAATGAGATAAATGTGTGTTTGGCATATGGTGTGGGTGAAGAAGTTTGTTTTCTTTTGGAGTGATGGGTAACAGATATCTCAGAAGTATATTCTCAAAGAAGGGAAGAAAATGACCAGAAATAGGAACCAAAAAAATCAAAGACCCCAAGGGCAATACATTCTTCTTGCCCTGTCTAAGAAAATGCACTGTGTACATTACATGATCATTGCATAGTCTCCAAATGAGAACAGATTAAGATGGAGATTTATAGGTGCAGAGGCCAGGCACACTGCATTGGGAGACAGCCCTGTGCTCAGTATATAGAAATTGCCCTGGGCTGGAGCTTCTCTCCTTCCATTCCCTTTCCCAGGACATGTCTGTGAATATCTGTCACTTTCTAGTTGTTGCAGCACAATTCCTGACACTCCCATCTTAAGGGAGAACAGGAACATTTGGCACTCATTACCAGTTTTTGGTCAGTCGGCTCCAAGGCCTAAAATGACATAGCAGAAGGGGGAGCAGAGCAAAAGCTGTTCATATGATGGCAGCCAGGAAGCAGAGAGAGAAGGGAAGAGCCACACAGGGAGATACACTGTTCCAGGTCAGGACTTCAGTGACCCAACTCCTCCCACCAGGTCTCCCCGTGATTCAATCACCTTCCAAAGTCTCAACTATCTGCATATGAGGCCTTTGGGAGGCATTGCCATGCAATAGTCCATATCTCTGGTGTTTATTACCTGTACCTGAGGTTCGCTATCTGATGTAGGACAGAAAACTTAGGGCACTCTACTACTACATCATAGACATCTTGAAGGACTTGCAAACTAGTTAAACATTCGTACATTTAATCTATCATCTAATATTCCTGTCAGGGTTTGGCCTTAGAGACTACAATGGTGAGGAAAATATACTTGGTCTTGCACTCTAAGTGGTAGTATTATTTGGAGTAATTTTTTATGATTGGTTCATCATCTAGCATAGAACTTGTACCCTAATGTGCTTAGTAAAACTGAATTCAAATCAAGCAATGTTTCTGTTGGATTATAACAGGGTTACATTTTTTTCAAGCACTGAAAATGTGAGAATTTATATATTACCTGAAGGGAGGAAGACAGAAAAAACAGAATCAAGCCCTGTTAAGCTATGTTCTCGGTCACAAATCCATCAGGTCCTCAGGGATCAAGACGGACTATCATAAAGACTCACGCTAAATTCCAAAGAATGCAGTAAAATGGTGTTTGTTGTCAATGTTAATGTGCATAGTTTTCTGTTTTGCTTCTTTAATTTTTTATTTTTTGACTTCACAAACACTTCAGGATCCTAATTAGCTACCCTCACAAAAATTTTGAAAAACTTTGAAAACATTAACTTAGACTTCATCTTTTCACCAAAGAATGTATTAAATGTCTATAGTTTTCCAGATGCTTCTAAATTAGGATCCCTCAAAAGCTACCCTCACAAAAATTTTGAAAGACTTTGAAAACATTAACTTAGACTTCTTCTTTTCACCAAAAAATGTATTAAATGTCTACAGTTTTCCAGATGCTTCTAGAAGTTCATTAGGGAGCACACTAATATAAAAATTTGTATCCTCTTCAGAGAAAGGCAGATGTACACCTGCTATATCAAACATATACTCTATGTATCTTTACAAATTAGACTTACAAAAAGTAATCAGAGAGAAAGCTCCTTGAGAGTGAGATTCATAAACAGATACCTGATAGAGAGATAAAAATTAGCAAAAGAAGAAGATTTTTGGAGGGAGGTGGGATGGGTTGGGGAAATGTGGCTATGGGATTAAGAAATAAGAAGCATCACTTCAAGCAGACGGTAAATCAGTAGACTGTACTGAGAAATGCAGCATGATGAAATGTTGGTGCATCCGTGCTTCTACTTTTCCTCCTATTCTTTTCAATATTCACTTCCCAAAGCCCATTTTCCAACTTTATCCAAGTGATGTATGTGAACTGTTGCCCCCATCTCATCATCCCCCTCTTACTTATGCTCCAGTGAATTTCACCACCTACAACCCCACCAGGCCTGGCTCCACCCCTTTCTGCACCACCACTATTCTGTCGTACACTTTGCTCTAGACCTGTCACCCCCTCCAAGCCTGTCAGGTACTCTGCAGTTTTGTACATGCTTCCCCCTCTTCCTGACCTAGTTTTTTCAGATTTTTCATCCTACTAGTTTCCATGGCACTTTTCAGTCACCTGTTAACTTCCCTCCAAAGCTTCTCTTGTGTATCTGTAGCCCCTGGATTAGCATGTATCCCATTACATAGACATAAACTCCATAAAAGTTTCTCTTCAGCTATATTCTGGATTAGTGGCTGGTTTGTCATGTGTGGTCAGTTAGTGGTCTAAAATAACAAATGGGACAAATATTACTCATCAAAGGCCCCAGAGAATAGAAGTATCTGATTAACTCTACAAATACAAAATTGTGTCCAGCCTTGGTGGTAGTCTGTGTGCCCTTAATATAGTTATGGAAGTGGAGGGAGAGCCAGGTAGGACCTAATGCCTGAACAGCAGGAAAGAATGAGTGTTATAGGAGAAGCATACATAGTTGACACATGTATAGCTTAAGTGCTATTTTAAATTGGTTGGTAGGTATGCAAGCATTAGTGTCATTTATAAAGGAAACTGTACATTACATGCATTGTTATATGTATTATGATATATACGTATATACATATATGATTTGATGTAATACATAGAAAACATAAGAAGGAAGAGAAGGTAAAGTCAGGCTTCTCAAAAAAATTGGCCATTAATTTGAATTGTGGTGAAAATTATCAAGATGTTTGCTTTTAACAACCTCCTTAGGGGCTGGGATTTAGCTCAGTGGCACTGCGCCTGCCTGGCAAGCGCAACGTCGTGAGTTCAATTCTTGGTACTGGAAAAAAAACAACAAAAAAACCCAACCTTCTTCATGCTCCAATACACATAGGTCTTTTTGACTAGGAGGATATTTTTCTTCAAGGGACTTTTTCTCCCCTAAAATAGTCCTAAGTTGATCAAGAAACCAGCCAAAAGGCATCAGCTTTATAGAAAAAACAACAAAGGCTGGAGTAGGAAGTGTGCTGCTCAGTTGTCCTGAACATTTACAAACATTTTGCACTGATTTCCATGAAGAGTAAAGCAAAGAGTCCGTGGTATCTTCAGACACTGAACTAGTGATTCAGAAATCTGGAGATCACTGAGAAATACATATCTTTTTAAACAAATTATTGCAAAAAAATAAAAAATCACAGTAGAAATCCAAAAGAATGGCAATCTTAATCATCGAGATACCCTTTCATGATTTCATTGATGTCAATATGCAGATCCAATTTTCATACATTAACAATATTATCACAAATATGCATCTTTCTGTTTTACTGCTTTCTGTTTTCCTTTTCTTTTCAAGCAATGACCTTCTAAGTTACCACCTACAAATAGCAATCTTGAAAAAAATGTAATTATCAGGGACCTTCATAGCATTGTTGATTTGGTTATATGACATTAGTATAATAATGATAACAAATTTATCACCTCTTTATGTCACTTAATAAAATGAAATTGCACAATATTGAAAATGATTACATGTTTTTATTAAATGGTTCTCTCCACTTTGCCTCTAAGTGGCCCAAAATCTCATGTGTACCAAGTACTGGCATTGAACAACACTCAAAAGCTGGCATACTTCTTCTAGGAAGTCCACGAAATTGTCATAATTGCACAATATAAAAGCAGACCCACCAAGACACACTGAGCTCCTCCACTCCAACTGAGGCTGTGAGGTGTTTTCCATATTTTTTATCTTGGGTTATAATGAGATTCTCCAGCTTCACCACTGGCAATCTGTGCAAACTTGGCATTTCTATGAATTCTCAGTTTTTTTCCTCCCTGACCTCACTGGGATGCTGTTTGTACATTCTGAATAGAATTTTAATGTTTTAAATAAGCCCATGAATGAGAAGAGGTTACAATGCTCACAGTGTGTCAGAGCAGTTGGTAAGTGTTACAACTACTGTTACAGTATACAAAACAGAGGGATACTGTGGTCACTAGTTGTGATATGCAATTCAACTACAGTAAGCACTGCATAGCAGATTAGTAAAGGTCTAGATGTGTCTATAGATGCTTGACAGGAAAGGTGAAAACTGAGCAGGAAGACCTGCCCAGGATGTGGTGGTACCAGCTAGCAGGCTTGTATCGGGAAGGAATGAAAAAGGGAAAGAAGGACGTTGTCCCCTTTTCTTAGAGTGACTCCATTCTGTCTTTGTCTTTGGATGTTAAGTGTCCAGAGCCTTCAGCTTCCAGCTTGGGTTCTTCAGCCTTCCACACAGACTCAGGCTTTAGACTCAGACTCACCCAGGTGGCTCTGCAGCGAGCTTCCAGGCTTTTACTTCTGCCTGCTGCTGGATCCTCTGGTTCCCCCTGCAGAGAGAGCCATTTTGCTTCTTCCACCTCTGGTTCTGGATGCTTTTCCTTCTGATCCTGTAAATAGGTAACTTGAAAGATGTCACAAGCTTAAAATCTCACATTAAGCAAACTTTATATTCTGATAATTGTAGCTCTATTAGACTCTGTTCAAGAAATGCCATGGATTATAAAGACACTAACTGGGTAATTGGGCTCATGATAAAGGGAAAACTGAGTCTAGTCAGGGAGCCTCTAAATCACTTACATTACTTGGACGTTCCTATTCATTCTCTTAGATCATCTGTGAAAAAATACAGAATAAGTGAAAGCCACCTCCTCTAAGCATCAAGAAACACTACACACCTCACCCCAGAAATTGGAAAATTGGTGATCACTTTTAGTAGTGTACTACTACATCAGTAGGTATACTTACAAATTAGTAAACATGCTCTTTTTAAATTTAAATAGAAGTCTGAAATAGGGTTCCTTGTTTTTCTTTTTTTATTATAAAATCTGAATGATACAACAGATATTGTGAAAGGAAAAGAAACTTCTCAAAAGGAAAGAACAATTGGGATGAGGGAAAAGAAAGAATGAAGGAAGGAAAAAAATATATCTACACATAAGATAGCTAAGATAATTGTACTACTAATTTCTATTGGTTTATTGAAAGGAACAGTTAATGTGTAATTGTTTGATAAATCTTACATGCCTATATCTGGTTATCTGAGTAACCACTTTGAAGATAACTCTATGTAGTATAACAGCCATTGTTAATTTCCTAACACAATGTTTTGAAATAGGGTTTCTAAAGAGAATTAAACTTTGGTACAAAAAATGTCTCTTGGTCAGGTGTGGTGATGCACGCCTATAATTCCAGCCCTGGAGAGACTGAGGCAGGCGGACCAGTGTGAATTCAAGGCCAACCTAGGCTAGAATGACTTCAAGACCAGCCTGAACTGCATAGCGAGAGCATATCTCAAAAAAAAGTCTCTTATTTTGTCAAAGCCTAATTCTAGAACTTGGGGATTCTCATTTAGACTACCAATTTTCAAATTACTCCATGTAGAACATAGAGTTTTATGAGTATGACTTAGGAATCACAGTGGGATAATGTGGATAAAAACCAGGCTAGCACGTTCTCACTTCAACTAATAGAGCTTCTCTGTGATCTCTTTCATATAATACATTTCTACATATCATTTTCAACTACACTCCTCATGCTTTGATCCCGAATAAATTACTGAATGTTTTTACATTTAATTCATTTTTAATTTCATGTAATAAAAGTAAATGTTAATAAAGAAAATATAAACAGCACTCTTTTTATTTCTATACAAATAAAATAAAAGTTCATTACAAAATACTTAGAGAATAACAATAGCTAATACAATGTGTATCATAATCTTGAAAGAATGGCCAAAATTTTACTTGGAAGACACCAGAATAACCCCCTTTGCAAATTTCATAATCAGGTGTTCCTTATTAGGGTGAAAGTATTTATTATAGAACTATAGTGTATACAGTACAGTTGAGCCTAGTGATTTTTTTTTCAGTTTTATGGTGCCCTGAACTCTTAGAACAGGAAGGAACCCTAAATTACAGTAACATAAACATGTACTGCAAGTATATAAGCACCTTCAAATACATCGTTTAAAATGTCTGGACTGAGGAAATGCAAGGCCAAAATTTTGGATGAATAAACAAGCTGAACACAGAAGCTGTCTTGCAGAAAGACACAAAGGCTGGCAAGGAAGCCTGACTATTAGAGACCCGCAGCCCTGAGTACTTTGTGGGTAGGTCCTGTGCTTAGGCAACAGCAGTGAAGTGTGGAAGATGATTGATTTAGATATCACACGCCTTAACATTGACTTTCCAGAAGGTTCCACAGAAAAAGTGTGGACTGTGCTACCTTTGAAAATCGAGAAAATGCCTGTTACTCCTCCAGACCTGCAGGAAAATAAGAATCCACACTTTCCACTCGTCCAACCTTAAGAATGTCCTTGGGGCAACAACAAGGACACATAGGGCAAGGAGGTGCAAGTAGCATTTAGTGACAAGGAGGTGACACAAGTAAGATAACTTATCACACAGCCAAATACCTTAGTATCTCAGTGGATATATTTATGAGGGAAGAAGGGAAAAGAGCCACAAAAATAGTAAGAGAATGTAAGATGACTGGAACAAGACTGCCGGCTTCAACTACTCAGTACAAGGTAGAGCTGGTCTTCTGTGCCTCTAATGATGAATACTATGGTAGCATTTATAGCTTTTGTACCTTTTAAACTTTTTTTTTTTTTTCAGGAAGATGGCCTTCTGAAAACATGAAATTGATGTTAAACTTTTTATAAAAGTTAACATTTTGAATACTCCCCAAAATTTCCTGTAGTAGCTCTGTAACCAGAGAAGAAACTCCAGTTTCCAACACAAACAGGCTTTGGGAAAGGATCCTTGCAAAAGAGAAACATCCCAACACCCATTTTTTGCTCTAGATCCTTTGCTTTTTATGCATCCTTTGGCTTTCCTCTGTGAACAGAAAACATACTACCACAGTGTGAAATTAATTAGTACATGTAAAGAAAACATTGGGTAGATCTGATTAGAGGCATGGCTGGAGATGGGAAGTTGATTTAATTAAAATAACTTGTCTCTCTTACCTCTGCTTCTTCTACTACAAATTCATTCTAAAGGAGCTCCCATTTGTTCTCACACCATGACTGACTGTGACTTGGAGGAAATATTTCCCAGGCATAGGTCCAGAAGGAAGAAAGGCAGGTCCTTCTCTCAGGATTTTTGGGTAAAGACTAAAGTATCAGTGAGTGTTTTCTGAGTTAAGTTCTGATGTCTGCGCTGATGTCTGTGGCCAGGTGTGCCCCACTGTGGATGGTGCAGGCTCAGGTATGTGTCCTATGCCTGACCATGATGAAGTCAACACACTGAAGACATAAGGTTGGGACTGAGGTAGTCCTCCTAAAGATAACTGGATGTCTGTTACTAGACTATGAGTGACCCAATATTTGACCAGCAGTAAAAATTCTTAGTTAATTGGATTTCTTAAATCCTTAGTTCCCATACTACCTACTAACAGCATTCAATGTTGGTTGATGGACAGTGGATTTTAAAGACTTATTTTACTTACTAATAGAAGTGTGTAGTATGGGCTTCATTGAGACATTCATTAAAGAGAAATAACAGTTAAATTAGATGAGTTATTCATCTACATAAAGACTATAATAACTCAATCCAAAAAATTTTGGTGCCACTGGGACTGGGGACCCAGATAAGTAATAGGACTCAATCAGTTGCAAAACTGAGGGGTGGAATTCAGAACTTCTCATTTTCGTACTAGTGTCCTTTCTTTTAGAACAGGAAGCATTCATTATCATAGCACTTTTAGTCTCCCTCTGGTATTTTACTTCTCCAGCCAATGGAAGAATAGTTTATCTACTTTGGGACATTAAAAAATACCAGCAGGCCTATGTAATTCAATGACTCCCCACTTCAGAGCCTGCCTTTCACAAGAAAGATGTTTTCCCTTTGGTTTCATGTCCTTGAGACTAGTAGGGTTGGAGAGAGGGACAGAAGGGGGCCTGAATGGGTAGCCATGGACCTTGTCTTTCCTAGGGATTTTTTAGAGCAAAACCACCGGTGAGGTGGGTCGAAGGTGGGGGAAAAATGGGAAATCGCAAGGTGGGCATGAGGTGGGACAAAACTATGATCATCCAATAAGATTACAAGTGTAGTTGTTCAGGTAAAATTGATTAAGCCAGAATCAAATGGGGAAGTGAGTCACATAGCAAGCAGACATGAATACAGAATAGGGGCCTTTCCTGTAAGGGGTTGGGTTAGTGACTCTTCCTGGCTTTTTCAAGGTGATTGCTATCTATTCAGAATATCAATCCCTGATGTCCATCTCTAGGGAAGTATTGGGTGAATTTGTTTAATCTTTTGTCTTGAGGTCTGGTCCACAGCAGAAGTGCCAGTCTTTCCTGCAGTTGCAAGGTATCTTGTCTTCCATATTGGCTCCCTTGAGAGCCCAGCCCTGTCTGACTGCCTCTATTATCACCATCTAATATTTCTACTCAGTTGCTTACAATATTCCCCCCTCTGAAGAAGTAACTCCAACTGCCCTGAGGGAATAATAGATGTTGACTGCTCTGGCTTCTTCAGGCTGAAAGGGGTCGTAGTCACTGATCCAAAGTTAGAGATTCTTTTTATTTGAAGGACTTTGATGAACGCCAGATGTTTTTATCTTGGGTAGACATGTAGCTTTAAGCCTGGAGGAGACAAAACCAAAGAAACAATTAAGTATGCATGTGCCAAGTAATAAGATCAACAGGATAATTAGGGATATAGCAACAAGGATTTCCACCAAGAGGAGTCAGTAATGGCTTTTTATAATGAGGATGAAGATAAGGTCCAGGGAATCTTTAAGCCTGACACGTCATGGATTTTTCATCTAATATCTTGAACAGCTATCAAGATATTAGCAGAAGAATCAGGAAATGTACACACAGCATTTAGTTTTTACAGTTGTACAAGTATTCCCCTGTGCTTCTGTTAGAATGTGTAATGCCATCTGATTTTGGAGGATGGCCTGTCTCATTAATTTTACCTTTTTACTTACAAGAAAAAGACTAGCTGTGGTGTCATTTAAGGTCCCCTGAATATTGTTAGTTAAGGCCTTGATATGTGTCATGTAACCCTCTGTTAGACAAGATCTGGTGTATCCCAGTAAAAGCAATCTAAAAGTAATATAGCACATTTATTATAGGTTTTATCTGTGTGATTACCTGGGGTCTGGCATCCTATAATCAAGAACAAATTGAGAAATTAGGGCATGTATAATCAAAGCATGAGCATTAGAGCTGACAGGTAAGTTTAGAAAACTGTTTTTAAAAGGATATCTATTGTAATGCACTGGCTATTAGACCCATTTACTGATGGAGTCTGACATTTTGTCATAAGTCCCTCTAGCTTTAGTTATAATTATTTCGATGACTTATGAAAACTAGATTAACACCTTATTTTGACCAATGAAAAACTCTTAAATTTTTGTACATGGGCAACAATATGTATTATATTTGTAAAAACCAATCTCAGCATCATTTTGATTAGTTGATGACCTGGATATATATGTTACAGTAATTAGGATAAAATCTCTCCAGGAGGAGAACTGGGTTGCACTTTTAGGCATAACTAAAAGGAATGCACAAAGAGAAAGTTATCCCAGTTATAGTTTAAGTGAGTTTTTTGTTTTTTAGTGACTGCTTTTATTGAGGTATGAAGACTGGAAGGAAAGTAGGGCTGGAGGACAAAGAGACCTGTGCTAATGCCCAACAATAGGCTGTTTTTTGTTTTTTTTTTCCTCTAGTCGTGATTACTCAGGGCCCCTCTGTGGAGATAACAGGTAGAGATGACAGTTCAGCCAGAGGGAGGAGGCAGCCCCAGGCCCTTTAGTCTTTCTGGACCAGCTAGGAAGAGAAGTATGAGCTCTGGGACCTCACCTCAGAGTGC